CCCTCAGGGTGCTCCTCCGTTATTTCCTCCAAGTTCCTTTCAGATTGCAACGACCTTCTTACCCACGCCTACTATCCAGATGACGATTGCTGTGAAAGCGACGTTCAAGGTGTCTAGTATTGAGAATACGGTGGGTGATCCTAATTGAATATCTATACACATTTCTCAGTAGTTCTCTGTTCTTGTTGCTGATGTGTTTGGTTCGTGTTCGTGGCGTCAAATAGGCAGCGCCTGCGCCAGTTGAGGACGATATGCAGAAATTCTTGAACAGGTGGAAAGATTAACATCGGACATGGGATCCACTTCTTTTGCTTCTCCTGCCTTTATTGGTTTCTCTCTTTCCTTAGTTTTTCTTTCCTCGTCTGTTTTCTCTTTAGTTTGACCAGGCAGCCCTTGGTTATGGTTGTGTTATGGTTTATGGTTTATGCCTTACGTTATCCTAGATAGGTAACATTGACGTATGAGGAGTTCGTTTGATTTGAGATATGAAATCTCAAGGGGCGGAAACCGTTATGTTGTATATTTTGTGATTTCTAGCCTATTCCCCTTCCATCCCTTCCTTAAAGAAAATCATGCCTTTGTTCAGTCAGTTAATGTATTATTTAGTGCATGTTGTTTTAGCACAAGCGATTTATATGCTCTATTTGAACGAATGATTTGATTCTAAATTTATATCGTGGATAGATAGATAGTGAGCTATATGGAATACTACTTAGCAACACAAAAAGTAAAAAGATAAAAAGACTCCTCCCATATTTTATGTCCATTGTTAGGGTTGGACGTCCAGTTGTGCTATCGGTTACCTGGCATATATCCCAAAAGAATTTTTATGGGGAATAATTTAATATGCTGGGGAAAGGAAAGACATGGGCGACTTCAACCTCCACCTCCACCCAGTGCCAACGCAGCCCCTATTTTCTACGTGAATGTATGTTGAAAGCATCGGGAATGAAAAAAAAGGGGGGGATCTTCTAACCAACCCAAACTCCAGCCCCACGTCAACAAGGAGAAGAGAAATAACAAAATCAAACCGCCCGCGGGGACGCCCCACTGAGAACCCGGAACTCATCTTCCAGCGCAGGCGTTGTAGGCCGACTTGCCCTTTCCGACATTCCGAAGAACGCAATATTCTGCCTCAGCGCCACATACTCGCTGTCCGCATACCCGAGCACGGGTAGGATCTGTGTACTCCGCAGGCCCTTGATGCGCGCAATCTCATTGCTGCCGTAATTCACCAACGCCCGCCCGACTTCCCGCGGTGACGCGCCTTGAAGCGGGAAATCGCCGTTGAGGGCAGCGGCGGAGGTTGAGCGTCGCTCGACGACGACGATCCGCACGGCTTCTTGCTGGCCGAAGTGACCCTCAACGCCTACGACGCCTGCGGGGAGCAGGCCGGCTTTGTTTAAGATGGCGGCGTAGGCACCTGCATCAATGTAGACAGTGCCGTGGGGGGAGAGTCCGTGCAAAAGCCAGAATGAGCGGGAGTGGATCGGGGTGGTCGAGGGGATGAAGCGAGTATGTGCTGGCAACGTTGCTTTTGCTAAGGATGGAGATGGAGGTGTTGATGTTGGTGGAGAGACGGGCTTTTCATTTATGGTGGGTGTTGTTGATGACCAGTTCTGTGTGTTATGTTGGAGGTGTCTGATGATTGCTAGGACGTTGCCTGGCTGTGAGCTACGGGTTATTATGGTCGTGACACCAGCACTTGTTGCTAGGCGTGCCGCGACTATTTTCGTGCTCATCCCGCCTGTTCCCAATGAAGAGCCTGCGGAAGATACGTCGGCTGTGAGGCTGGAGATGTCCGACACCACCTCAATTACCTGTGCGTCCGGGTTGGTGCGGGGATTCGATGTGTATAAGCCGTCGACATCCGTCATTAAGAACAGATAATCTGCTCCAACCATACCAGCGGTGATGGCAGATAACGTGTCATTGTCACCGAATTTAATTTCCTAGTCAGGGTTACGTCAAAAATAAGCATTCCGTTGTGGTAATTCCCCTCCATCCATCCAGTGTCGATCATAACACCACCTACCGAAACCGCCAAAGTATCATTTTCATTCACAATCGGAACCACTCCCATATTCAAGAGCTCCGTAAGGGTATTTTGCGCATTGCGATATTGGGTTGTCTGTATTATATATTACCACGGTCAGACTTCGTAATCGTCCAGTTTCCTGGTCCCTGTTGTATTGTATGCCAACGGGACGCACTCACGTCCGCAATGTCATTCCTCGTCAACAAAATCTGAGCCACGGGTTGTCGCAGATGGGCGAACAAACTATCCCATAGACTCATCAGTCTGCATTGTCCAACAGCCGCCAAAGCCTAGAGCTGAGGTTAGCCGATGTTAACAGCTACTGGTTCGTTTGAGTATTAGTATATACTGCTGTGATGCGAACCTGTATTCGAGGAAGATGTGTTGGCCGAGTGTCAACATCCATCCTACGCAATCCAACCCCGACAGCACCTGAAGAGACAATGATGACTCGGTGCCCATCTCTTAGGAGTTTTGCTGTGGTCTCGACGATAAGTGTTAAAATGGACAGAATGGGTTCATGGGTAATTTCGTCAACGATTGAACTCGTCCCTTTTCATTTAAAACAATAAAAATTAGTTGCTTAGTCGAGAAAAATAAGGACAGCTATACCAACTGGCTTGTCTGTTTCAAAAAGGTACGCACCCAATTTAATCACAATCGTGAATGCTCTGTGGCCCTTCATCTTGCCGGTATTGTCACCGTCGGTAGTTGATTCTCCTCGCCTGGAAGTCGGACTCTCATATCCATGAGGGCCCCTTCCAGGAGAAGAGGGAGGTTCTGAAAACGAATCCAGGATCCCGGGTGCAAATAAAACACCTACTGGTCGTTGTCCGTGGGTCCCATCATAGGGCGCCGGGATAGTTTATCGTCTCCATTAATTTGCCTTGGTATAATTTAACTGTATTTTATTCTCGAGTTTCTGAAAGGCAGATGTTCTGCCGTCCCTCACCGTTCTCGGGCAGATCTCATTACGCCTTCACGTATGATATTCCGGCTAGGAATTCTTTATTGACATCACCAGGTGTAGAGCAGGTCCACGGCAGGTCGATAAATTTATACTGTGCAGCAAATGGCGGATACGAACTCATCAGGTGCCGGGACTAGCACCCCCGCGCCACCTACAGACACTGGCTACACACCAGGGGATGACACTTGGACCCAAATGAAGAACATGTTCTCGATTCTGACAGGTAAAATGACGGAAGAGGGAAAGGATCAATTTTTACTTGCGCGGGATATCCGAAATGAAGAAATTGATTGTAAACGCTGTGAGGATCAGCGTGATTATCTTATAAAATACAGTGTGTTTGTCTCTGCTGTAAACTGCGGAAACTTTGCGTGTGCCTGTCCCCATTACTTTCCATCGTTGTTCAGTGCTTACACTGTATCTCATTTTCATCCAGGTCCCATCATCCGCTTTCTCCAAGATAACATAAAGCAACTGGGCGGCGATATATCTAGCCACAACATCCATTGCCGACGCTGCACGCAACGACAAGCCGGCGGCTTCGACCCGGAGTACGGTATCCGGATATGCGCAAATGCAATGAAGGACCAGGGACATCTAGAGGATACAATGGCACATGAGATGATGCATGCCTACGATCATTTACGGTTCAAGTTGAACTGGACAGACAATTTGAGACACGCTGCTTGCACTGAGGTTCGTTTATATTTCGCCTCTTATCATTCTCCATGTCCGATCTCCCAAGATTCTCATTCAAGATATCAGATATTAAAACATAGTCTAACCGTTTGTTGGTTCGTGTAGATCCGGGCAAGCTCATTAAGCGGAGAATGTAGATGGGCCCGAGAGTTCTTCCGCCGCGGCCAATGGAAACTAACTCAACAGCATCAGGAGTGTGTGCGGCGACGTGCTGCCTTGTCCGTCATGGCGCGGCCGGCTTGTAAGGATGCGGAGCACGCGAGACAGGTCGTGGATGAGGTTTGGGATAGCTGTTTCCGAGATACCCGCCCTTTCGATGAGATTTATCGATAAGAAAGGAAAAGAGAAAGAAATTTGTAGGGTGTTTTCTGGAATTTCCCCCTTTTTTTTCGTTTTTTTATTATCATACATATGTACAGTACATTATATGGGTATCGGTACGACTGTTTGAACTAGACCGTCTGGCAGGGGAGAGCGGCGTTTTTATTTTGGAATGATTCATTCTTTGATACTCTGATAGACCACTCAATTAACTGACGAAACGATCGAAAACTTGAAAGAAGCTACTGTAGCCCCAAAAACAATGATCCATGTGCAATCATTGCCATGTGTCCGATCCTGTACTCCAAAGTTAAGCAAAATGGACAATCAACCATACTCCATACACCCGCTCGATAAACGATAGCACCCACTACTAAACCCATGCTAGAAATGTTCAAAACACACAAGGTTACAGGCAGGCAAATCTACTCTCTATAACTTTTGTTGCCTGAGCTTCGCTTCGCTGCCCTCTCGCCTTTGACGCAATGTTTAATGATCCAGGGATGCTGCTGAACTTCGTCCAGAGGAATTCGCTGTTCTGGGTCAAGAACCAATAACTATTTGAAGGTTAGTGAGGCCAATAAAGAAACTTCCAATTAGCAGAATGCATGCCAGACCAACCAACCTTCTTGATAAGATCCCTAGCCTCCGCGCTCACAAACGACGGCACTTTCATCTCACCCCTAGCAATCCGCCGCCGTGTCATAATTGGCGTGTCTTCAAACGGGGCCTCGCCAACCAGGAACTCGTACGTAAGCACACCTAAGCTCCATAGATCGATTTTCTCGTTATAATAATTGTCCTGTAACCCAGGCCTAAGCATTTCCGGAGGCAGGTAGTCCAAAGTGCCGCACATGGTATTTCTTCTGTTATTTGGAGCATGTACGCTCCAGCCAAAGTCGCTTATCTTGATTTCGCCATGGATGCCCACAAGGATGTTCTCTGGCTTGATATCACGGTGCATGACGTGCTTTTTGTGCAGGTATTTCAATGCAGCAGCCATCTGGGCGATATATTGCGCAGCCTTCCACTCTGGGAATCGGTTTTCCTTTCTCAGGTGTTTGTACAGTTCTCCATTGCCTGCAAACTCGAGAATCAGAAACACCCGTTTACTATCATGGAAATGACCATATAAGCGTAATATATTGGGATGTCTCAGATTGCTTTGGATTTCGATTTCTCGTCGTAATTGCTTCTCGACTTTGCCCTGGACCAGCTCGCTCTTGTGCAAGACTTTCAGAGCACAAACGAAGCCAGTTGATCGTTCTCTAGCAAGGTATACTCGACCAAACTTGCCCTTCCCGAGAGGTTTTCCAATTTCGAACATTCCCAGGTGGAATTTCTTTGGGGCGCTTGGCTGCTCGTAGAACGGGATGGAAGTCCGGCTGACCGCTGTACTTTCTTCAGTGGAGTTATAGGAGGAAGATACCAGATTGACTGTTCCTTGGGGTTTGCGGGGAGAGGAGCCATTGCTATTTTGAAGAGCATATTTTAGCAAATTTGAGCGGTTTGGGTTGCTGGTAAGCTGTGTCGCTGAAGTTGAGGCTGTGTGTGGGCCCTTCTTGTGGTATTAGACAAGTATTCTCATAGCATTGATTATATGTATATATATATATGTGTGTATGTGTATCAGGAAATTTACTTTTTGTTTCTGGTAGTATGTGCTGTTGCTGAGAGGTTCATTCTCATCATTGACGGAGAGATGCTCAAACCGAGCTTCGAGGGTCTTCGACATTTGTGGTGGAAGGTGGAAGCAATATGAGGTATTTGAAGAAGGGAGATAAATTAAAAGCTCTCCTCAGAGTGAAAATAAAATGGTCTCTGTTCCTGGTTAATCCGTATATCTGCTGTGCAATGGAGGTTGGAGGAATTTGACATTCATCAAGCCCACCTCCGTCTTTATTTACTCCGTAATAGGGCCAACGGTCACCACAGCAACTCCGGATCAATATTAATCCGATAGTCCCTGGCTTTCTTGGCGTTCTGCGGGCAGATCCAACCAAATTACAAACCCTGCGTGAAGAACAATGTATTATGGATGGATCGTCTTGAAGCAACAATGCGGAAATATTTGCAGTCGAGTACAGCCAAATTAAAGCATTGAACTTTTTTTGGGCTCTCATATATGCTTTAGCCTTGGTCGGTGATACACAACTAACTGACTAGTTGGTCACCACAATCAAACTTTGGGTACATTGACGAACACACTGCCTCCGGCGCATCCCATAATGGCCTCCAACGACGCACACCAGGATACGCAGTTTCCCTCTGCCACTACCCCCAGGGACAATTCGATTACAAGACATGGCTTCAAAATAACTACCCAAAAACTACCAATACTCAAAGCCGGCCCAATCGATGAGATGACTACGAAACTTGGCATTGCACCTCCAGAGATGATATTTGGCGACAACCACGTCACAATCGAGCACCAGCCCTCGGGATGGAAACTAGATTTCAACGCTTTTGATGCCTTGGACCGTGTCGACAAAAGTGGGGAGACTATGCTGAAAGTGGCTTATTCAAAGGAGTGGCAGCAGAGCAGGTGAATACCGACAAAAATATGAAGTCTGTAAAATGATGCGATGTTGACTCAGACGCTAAATTGTTTCGCTTTTCCTTGCTTAGAGAAAACAGTCATCAAGGGATTAAAGAGGTAGTCAAACCATTTGATTGGTCCTATAGCACAAATTATAAAGGGACACTTTCTCCAGGCGGAAAACCATTCGAACATTCATCATCCCCGATTCCCATTGAACTCCTAAAACGACCGGATCCCATCCTCTTTTTCGACGAAGTTATGCTATATGAAGATGAGCTGGCGGATAATGGTATTGCCATGTTATCGTGCAAGATACGTGTCATGCCTTCTCGCCTACTCCTTTTGTCCCGGTTTTTCATGCGGTTAGATAATGTACTGGTTCGCCTAAGGGATACTAGAATATATGTCGATTTTGAAACGCGGGAAGTGATTCGGGAGTATCAGGCAAAGGAAGAGAAATATGATGAAGTGCGACAGGTATGGGCTCATTTCTAAGTACACGAGATACCAAATTTGATGCACTTAGCTAACGGATAGCGTAGCGCCTAGTAAGCTCGAGGGAAGATATTCCGGCTATAATGCGAGACCCCAATAAACTCTCGGAATTATTGCCCAAGGTGGATGCGAGTTTGGAACATGTTTTCGTTGACGGTTGAGGTGTTTAGCTTCGGTATCGCTCTCCTTGTAAAAGTAACGCAACTCTGCGCCCTCATGATATATCGTGAACTCCCATGAATACAATCCGAGGAAAGCTACGTACCCTGGTCGCTCCAGAGGCGTCGGCGAAACCCACCTTACGAACTATCTTAGAACCTCCGTTCATGGAAGTTGTGGGTGGACCATCCTTCTAAACCTGAGTATAGGTGGTAGCCTGCCGGCACCTATTACATGTACCGTACACTCTTGCTGTTGTCTTTATCCTGCTTTGAGCCTGTAGTTATGTAGTGTCAAGATACCTAGTCCCATGCATGTATAGGGGCATATACAGTACATACTTTATGAGATAATACTATTAATATCTTATTGAATAGTAATATTACACTGCGTAGCTAATTCTACTGATAATTAACCTTATTTACAGTTTTCAATATCAGCTTTCAAAACTTTCTTTTCAGTTTGCTCATTAATTGAAAAATAATAGAGAGACTGTGCAATTATCTTTTATAGTAATAATTTTTCTTATAACGTAATTCACCACTTAACGGAACAAACACCTAATGAAACACTCTTCTATCTCAATTAGACTGGCCGCCGGTAGACTGACCGTGTGACCGTGTCTGAGACCAGGACCAAACTTTACAGTTGTCATGTTGCCTAAAAGCATTACTTCTGATCATGGTTTATATTCATTACATTGATTCTAAATCACATTATTTCAAATATTGAAGATCTCAGATTCACTTTTTAAATAAAAATCTAGTTCTGAATAAAGAATATATTTGAATTCTTAGTCACATTTTCATTCTGATCTCATTATTGAGAATAATATCAAATGAGATTATAAAATCACTTCTCACTTACATAATATCATAAT